CGGAAGCTTATCATGTCTGAGTACAGACATCTATAAATGAAAAAGGCTGAGAAGCCTGACTATCTACCAGGTCCTGCCGAGGGCACAAGATCGTAGCTGAGGTAACAAGCTAAACGTCGAAGTCCACGTGAAACTACTAGCGAGACTGAAGTCTCTCTGCAAAAACATAAAATAGGCAAACGTGAGTACAAATGTACCCAGCAAGACTTACATCAGAACTAACTACATATGCATCATTATCAACAAAGGGGGTGGTGGGGTTTTACTGCAGCAAGCCAGCTTTGACTCAGTGGCCATCCTAAACTACGATTGCAAGTAACTCTTTTGAGGTGGCGCACACGAGTCCACATATTCACCATATCAATACACCACTATGGATCCGCAGCCGTCTCCCTACGAGAACGCCATCCATAGCACTCACGCTTATCTTGCATATTTTAGAGTATCCACTTTCACTTGTCTATGAACTGTACAAGCAACCCAGAAGTCCTTTACCGCGGACACGGCTATTCGAATAGATAATGTTAACCCTGCAGGGGTGTACTTCTTCACACACGCTCTCACCACTTACAGCCATGTACACCTCGTGTATCTCGGCAACCTTCAAGCGGAAGCCTGGCGAGGGAGTCGGCCACGACCTGACTAACCACACAAGTCTCTCGTCCAGGTTTATCGCCTATTCGGGTTCCACCCGCAAGGAGATCCGGCCGGGGTGTCGCTCACGGCCCCAAACGATGTGAGCAGGGTTCCCAAGCCCACCATCCGGGTGCCACTTGGTACACCGTGCCACTGTGCCTAGTCTGTCCCAAGCCCACCTGTACCGGGTGCCACTTGGTAGACTACTAACACTACCTAGAAACACCAGAAACTAGTTGCAGCTCCTGGACAGAGATCAAGTTGATTAATAAGTCGAGAGGGGTCGAGTTACCGGAACCCAATGTGTGGTAGTAACTGTTCATGGATCGCAAACACAGAACTCAGTTCCTGAGGACGGCTGCAATGAGACAACCCACCATGTACTCCTACATGGCCTCTCACCACTACCTTTATCAAATCGTGTTCACACACTTAGCTCTCAACAGTAGGACATGTTCACTGCATTCCAATTCATCACCGATGAATCAGACCTGACTCAACTCTAAGCAGTAGCAAGCATGACAACAAGCATGAATGAGTAGGCACATCAGGGCTCAAACAACTCCTACTCATGCTAGTGGGTTTCATCTATTTACTGTGGCAATGACATGCAGAGGATAAAGGGGTTCAACTACCGCAGTAAGTAACAGTTGAATCGTTGTTGTCCTAATGCAGTAAAAGAGAGCAGGAGCAAGAGAGTGGGATTGTATCGGAATGAACAAGGGGGTTTTGCTTGCCTGGCACTTCTGAAGATAATATAGTTCTTCATCGGTGTCATCGATCACATCGTCGGTACACGTTTACTGAGAGGGGACAAACACCGACAAACAAAGAAGAAACACAATCAATGCAATGCACAATATGATGCATGATCATGACATGGCAATATGCTGTGGTTTGAGCTAACGCATCTAGCAGCAGGTTAAATGAAGTTGGATTGAATCCAAGATTCAAATTCAAACTCCATATGTGGATATTAAAATGCCATTTAAATGATTTGTGCTAATCAGCAGCTATAAGTTGTTCTAACATGCATGAAAATGGTACAGATGGATAGATTGGATTTTTCTGATCATTTTTCATATGTAATTTATTTCATTTGGAGTTACGGTTGAATTTCTATGATTTTTAGAAGTTTGTGGTATTTTCTGGAATTTCCTGTATATAAATAAATCCAGAAAATACTTATCGCGTCAGCATTGCGTTACTATGATGTCAGCGGTCAACGAGGCCGGTCCAGGTCAAACCTTGCCAGTGGGGTCCCCTAGTCAGTGGCTAACTAACTAACCTAGTTTAATTAGCACTAACCTAGGTTAGACTAACTAAGTTTAAACCTAAACTAGTTTAATTAGCCGGGCGGGGCCCGCATGTCATAGACCCAGGGATGGTCAAATCCCCTGGTCAACCGGGGCTAAACCACCGGCGGTCAAAGCGGTCAACCCGCCGGCGTTTAGCCGCCGGCGAGGCTGAACGCGGCGGAGGGCTCGGGATTGCTCCTCCGGCGCCCAAATAGACAGCTGAGAGCGGCTACGAGGAGTTGAAGCTCACCCGCTCCCGTTGCGGCAAGCAGCAGCAGCTAGGGCCGCCGGAGACGATAGCCACGAGCTCAGCAGCGGCGGCCGGAGCTCTGGCGTGCCCGGTGCGGCGGTAGGATGCACGACAGGGGACGCGGAGAGGTGCTGCAGGCTCCTGGGGGTGTGGCGAATGCGGTGACGTGCTCGGGTTCGAGCCCGCGTGGCTGTGGCCACGACGGCGGCGTGCAGAGGCGGCGGCGCGTGCGGGTGCGGGTGGCGCGGTGGCTACGGCGTGTGGCAGAGAGAACAAAGAGGGTGGGGACGGTCAGTGGCTTACAGCGAGCACGAAGAGCGGGTCTACGAGCTCGGGGAGGGGCTGATGGAGACGGAAGGTCGCCGGCGATCTCGGAGGCCAAACAACGAAGACGAGGTCAGGGACGACGTTGCAGAACTCCCGCAGTCGAACGGGTTGGCGTAGACGATGCAGGAGACGATGGCGGTTCTTCTGGGCTTATCGACAGGGCGAGGGGTGGCCGGTGGCCACGGTGGTTCTCGTCGGCGGCGGCGGGCGCGTTCGGTGAGGAGAACAGAGGAGGGGGAGAGCGTTCGGGGGAGAGAGGGGAGAGGTGCAGAGGGTCCGGGGGGTGCGTGGCGACGTCCTGGGCGTCGAGGCAGCGGCGGGAAGCAGGAGGTGGCCAGGCGCGTGGGCGCGCGCGCCGGGCACGCGCTCGTCCTCCTGGCAGAGGAGGAAGACGACAGGGGAGGAGGCGGTGGTGGGCTGGGCCGCCAGCTGGGCCGGCCAGGTGGGCTGCACGAGTGAGGCCAGGTATTAACTCTCTCTCTCTCTCTTATTTATTGTTTTCTATTTTTCTGCAACTTTGTGGCTTTACTAAAAATATCTAGGCATTTTCAAAAATCACCAAACTATGCATGCCCAATGTTTAGAATATATCCAACATGGAACATTTCAGTTTAGGAGTATTTGGACATTTAAAATATTTTACAGAATTTAAATATCCAAATTCAAATACTTATGATTTAATTCAGTGACCTTAGGATGACCTAGAAAATTGTGCATCATTTAGTCAGAGGTTTAAGACCAAGGCAAAGATGATGAACATTTTAGAAGGGCATTTCAGGTTCATTGAAAATGATTTTATGTTGAACCTATTTGATTTGATCTGGTGCTAGGGTTTGATCAGCCCCCATTTCAAGTTAAATAGAATTTAAACATGATGCACACATGAAGCTAACCTAGTGCAAAGGCAGAAGCTAGGGATGTGACAAATTCAAATATTTGCAGAATATGTGCCACACCAGCGTGAAAATGGAAAATCTAGTGTCCATTCACCACTAAATTGAATGCAATTTGACATATGACTCAACAAATTATGTTCTCTCATCAAGGGATTTACTGGAGGAGTCAAAATATTGTTCACATTCTGAATCTAGGAGTCAACATTAGTGCCATCGAACTCGATGATATTCATTCTAGCATGTTTCATAGTCAGTGTGCTTCTTCGTTAGTCGGTAGGGGTCTAAGGCCTGCATGTAGGAGTACCCCTTCTGAAACCACCTTATTGTGGCTCTTCATCGGAAAGATAGTCCTCTAGCCATCGTTGAATTTTTTGACTTGTGGTTCCACTTGATCTTATTTGTTTGCAACATGGATAGGGTGCCAATAAGGCATCTTGGAAGCTCCATCCATATTCAACTCCCTTTCCCGGTGATAATGTGACACCTGAGAGCCTGAAGTGAATGCATGTTGCTTGTCTAGAGCAATGTTGTGTAGAACAAGCTATTTGGGATGGCCCACATGATTAATATTTTAGGATTGATGATGGGGTTGTGTTGTTGGGCACTCCCCCATGCAGGTCGACCAACTGGGTCTTCAATCTCTTCTTCGTTAGGGATTTCCTTGAGAGTGGCTGGAATTTCTCAAAGTTTTTTTGGATGCTTGCAAAGTTCTTGTTCACATATCGAGTTGCAGGGATTCAAGCTTGAGATTGTCCATGCCAACCAAATTAGAGATCTTCGTCATGTTGCAATAGGGAAGGTTTAAATTGTAGGCTACACCTCATCTAAGTGCTTTGGTCCATACAAACATGTCGGACATGAGACAAGGGAAAACCCATGTTATTCGCAAACCCTCAAATCTAGCCCATATATGTGAGAAGAAAATGAAACCCCATATGTCCATACAAACATGTCGGACATGAGAGACAAGGGAAAAAACCATGTTGTTCGCAAACCCTCAAATCCAGCTCATATTATGTCAGAAGAAAATGAAGACGTCGAGGGTGTCCAAACAGCCCACCATGTCCGGGACTACAGTTTCTCTTTATTTATTTTTCTTCTCTCTCGGCGTCCACAGCAATCATATGCATGTGTCCAAACAACTTCGGAACAAGATTGCGTCCACGAACAAATGAGGGTTTGCCCCCACCCCCGACCCACCCACCGCAAAAGCTCCACAGAACTAGTGCTTGTTATCTGAGTTTTGACATTAGAAGCACGTACTAGTTGGGGATGGTTGAGTCGATACATGAATAAATTATGCCGCTGACATGGTGCCGAAGAGCGCTGCTCTTACAATACACATACATACAGGGTAGGCAACACCTACAACGGGGCCTGCCTACAGCACCAACCGACTGATCTATGGTATACACGATATAGCATCAACACCGGGAAATATGTCCCCCGCAACAGGAAGGAAACTAGATCCTTTTGTATGGAAAATGTAATAACACCTACACTACAACTCCAGGCGCCGCATATCTCCATTGGTATAGACAGTTTTCAATCTGCTGTTATCTATCACCACTTTCGCCACTACGGTGAGCCGCACTAGGCTGCGTTCTCTCGGGGAAGTCTCATTGCACCGACCGCATCTGATTTTGGTGATTGCTCGTCTTCCCGTTCAGGCTGGATGTTCAGGTCAATCTGGTTCTTCATAGGAGAGGATGCCATGGTATGCTCCATGGCTTCTTCCGCGTCATCACCATTTCCGCTCACCTTCTGGGGAGTGCTACTAGGACTGGTGCTAGCCGGCAGGGGATCTTGTGGAATCGACTCGCTCGACTGGCCTTGCTCTTTCTTGCGAGGTAGCTCATCCGATTCTTTCTCAGACGCACGCTTCTCACGCCGAAGCATCAGTGTCCTAAAACGACGGCGCACCGTCATACATACATTGCAGGTGCACGTCTGCTTGTGCTTTGGTCCCTTCCCGCTAGGAGGCTGAATGCAGACAATGCACGAGCAGCCAGGGCGATGTCGGGGGTGCTTGGTAGTTGGCTGGGACGGAAGAGATTCGCCCTCACCAAGAATAGCAAGGTTTGCCAGAGTGTCCAGCCCATCCGAAACATCAATACTATCAGTATCCATCCTAAGTTTAGCCTTTTTTGCAGCACCTGCAATGTCAATTAAGCAAAAGCTATTATTATATGTAGTAGCCATTACATAATGGTACAGTGTTACCTCCAACATACTATTCTTCAACAAGAGTTTCAAACACAAGATAATCACAATGTCTTTGCGCAAACAGGGATAACTTAGAGGATGCATTACCTAAACATCCACTGAACATGATTCTAGCGAGTCTTGAAATTAATACAATAAAAAGAGCATCGTCTAAATCCCAACATAACTGAGGGAACCGGCGTGTTGATTTTAGTTAACATGTACTCCCTCCGTTTTTATTTAGTTCGCATATTAGCTTTGGTCAAAGTCAAGCTTTGCAAACTTTGACCATGTTTATAAACAAAAATATTAAGATATACAATAACAAATCAACAACATTAGATTCATTATTGAATGTACTTTCACATCGTATAGATTTATTATGATAAATGTCTATATTGTTTTCTATAAACTTGGTCAAACTCTACGAAGTTTGACTTCAGTCAACTCTAATATGCAGAGTAAATAAAAACGGAGGGAGTACTTTGGTTCAAGGTCCAGGCCACAACTAACCTCAGGCAATGTGGCAAAAGTTGACAAAAAGTTATGTCTATGATGTATACTATATGGGCTATGCGGCTGAGAACGTGTGGCAATCCACAATTGGAGGTTAGGGTTAGCCATGGCAAATTGTAGCTCGCAACCATACATAACCTAAGACTACGCTATGTCTTTGGCACATCTTGTAATGGTAGACATTTGATTGGTTCTCCTTTACACCTTCGGATGTTCATTTGTTGTTATAGTGGATATCTAAAAGAAATATCCCTCTGTAATTCATCTTTAGTATAACCACTACGCCCTCCGATCCATATTAATTGTCACTGCTTTAGTATAACTTTAGTAGGGAGTAATAAAATTCAACTTCTGCATAACCATTCATAAATCTTTCCAGGCCACCATACCTGCTTTTATAGGAATCAGTTCTGCAAGTTCCTCCATGCTTGCCTCTTGTGGAGAGACACAAGTCGTCCTAGAAACAAAAACAACAATCAGCTCAACAGCTAAAATATAAGTAGGAGCAAATCATTCTTCCCTCGGTGGCAAGATAGTTACTATTGTTGAGCTCAATAATAAAGAAGTTTATGAACATCCAGTTGGGTAAGAGATTTCAGCCACTTGTGTTGTAACACAATTTCTCTATGGTGTTCTGTAGCTTTCAGTAAAAATAGATATGCTTCAATTTGGCACACTACATAGTAAATACATGTGGCATTCTCTAGCACTAATACGAAAAAGGCCCATCTGTGCCCAGAGAGGACTTGTTTGAGGGATAATTATTTTCCTTATGAAGTTAACTGTAAGTTGCACATTGTCAAGAATATCAGTGACTCTGTCTGGGGTTCTTTCCTCGTATTTTGATGGCACGTAGATCAGATACATGATTGTTGTTGACCACGAGAACATATCAGGAAAATAAGAATACTAGTTCTCAACCTCAAAAAAAACATGTCTTTTACGGCATATCCACTTGAAAGGTAACTTTTTTTACCTAAACACGATTTGCTATTTTTGAGGATTAGATAATTATAATTTGTAAAGATGGTTCATCTTTGTACCAGTAACTAGTACAGTATTGTACTGTTAGCTAGTCATAATAAACAATACGAGTGAAACTAGATAAAAATGTACGATGATAACGAAATAATCAGCCAACACAAAACAGTATGTCACCTTTCAGGATCCCATTTATTGTCGGAGCAGGTCCACTTAGAGGGTAAAAGGGCGTCTACTGGCAGTTTCCGCCATTTGGAACAATCCTCACACTGAGCCCACTGATGATTCTCACTGATAAAATAAATAAACTATAAGAAGCAAGCAGAAGTTAACAATGCGGGAAATCTTACAGATAGATTGATATATGGCAGCCTAGGTTTTGGCACTGGAATTTCACCACTCCCAGATAGGAACACGGAGGTCAATTATTACATGTTGCAACTAAAACCTAGAGGCTAGAGCACAGCAAGGAACTCACTGACAGAAAAAGGTAAGTAGATAAATATGTTGAGCAGACTGTTGGATTAAGCATTCGTTTCAATAAGAAAAGGAGGCCTCATTTGTTCCATCTCTACACACATGTCAAATGCACATGCCAAGAAAAATCAGCCTGAAAACATTACCCTGATTGGTCAGTCACAAAATATGTCTTCCTCCCAAGTACTGGTGGCTCCTGCGAAAAACGTGTAGGTTTTTAGTCTTTTCATAACAAGTACTCCCTCCGTCCCAAAATATAAGAACGTTTTTGATACTATGCTAGTGTAAAAAACATTCTTATATTTTGGGACAGAGGGAGTACATAAGAGAAAATAAATCATGTAATAATACAAGTTCACTGGTAAGCTATGTGCCACAAAATAAAATATCAGAATAAACATATGTACTACTCCCTCCGATCCAAAGAGTGTCACAGTTTTGAAATAACCTTAGTTCAAAACTAGTTCAAAAGTGTGACATTTTTTTGGATCGGAGGGAGTACTATTTATCACAAGACCAAATTTTTTTTTCGGAACAGATGAAAGACTACCAAGTGATATTTGAGAAGAATGACATACCTCATATTCCTCAAACTCATGGCCATCAACAATAACAACCGAAGGGGCCTTCAGGGGAGGGCGAAGCAATTCTTGAGCCTCCTCCCATGTTATCTTCAATTCCATGGATTCCTCGTTATCGATCCGGAACCGTTTAATCTTTGGACCGATAGAAGTTGCTTTTCTCTTCACAGGTCCGGGGGATGTGCGAACAGTTCCCGACCCTTCTTTCTGTGCTACTCCACCTTTGTCTATTTTAGAGGCAGCTTGTTCCACAGGGCTAGAGTCTTTGTTCTCTGTGTTGACTTTATTTGGTCGCACTAACGAAGAGTTCGGACTAGAATCTGGAGCAGTGACATTAACATTCACATCTGGAAGATTTGGTGCAGCATTTGCAGGCTTTGTTGGTTCTTCCTGACGGAATATCTGATCAACATATGTAAACTTATAGTCAAACAAACTATTCCAGCAATTATTTTGTCAATAGCCAGCATAGCTATGATATCTGATTTTGGTTGATAAAAGCTCTAGCATATGAACAGGAGATCTTAAGACTTGACGGTACAACAGGATGCAGCAGAACATCTAAATTGTCAAGAATGGAGACATGCTCTATGCATGTATATGATAATACTTCATCAGGCATTAAGCAAACAAAAGAACACAATTGAATCTGCATTCGACCATCCGTTCAAGCAAATAGCAATATACAAGCTGCATGAACTGTAACAAAAGATTGAATTTTAGAGCTATCCTCCAGGGGAGCCACAACACAACATACTTAAGTAACACCGTACCTGTTCTTGAGTCTTTGTCTTTCTGAATCCCATGACCAGCTTCCCTTCAGGATCTATTCGGCTGAAACTTACTGAACAATATTTACACGGGATGAGTTATCAGCAAAACACATGACCACTTTCTTAAGAAAAAACTAAAATAAAAAAAGTGAATCGCAAATGAGAAGGGAAAAAGACCATTGCAGCCTTCAGCTATTGCCCAAATCCTTTTCAACCTAACAATGTTTCGAAACAATCTCAAATTCTTAAGACCATTGACTTTACCCTTCACTAACATTCCAAAGTGGTTGTCATTGACAGTGGTGGTCTTAACTAACATGGTGGCCCTCCTTCCTGTCAAGGCCTGCTTTGAAGCTGCCGCTCCAACATAGCCACATAATGTGTAATGATCCCCGGACTGGCTACCGGGTATAAGGCTGCTACGCCTGGCTACCACCTAGGATCTAGACTGGCCCCACAGACCTACATGAGTCTTTCCCGTAGTTACCAGATTCACTGGGAGAGGCCTCGAACTCCGATCTAGATCTAACAACCCAGATCGGAGTTCGAATTCGGTCGGTTCGAACGGAAATCGGTGCCCAATTCGCCGAACCCTAACCGGTCAAGTTCTCTCCTCATTCGTCTCCTACATCCGCTAGAGCACGAGCGCGAAGGGAGAGACGTGCTAGAATAAGAACAGTGAAGAGATTGCATGCCTGAAGCCATGAGAGTAGAAGATGTGTGCGTGCTGCGTGTGTGGCGGCTGGGATCGCTAGGAAGTCTCAACCTAAAGCCAGCATATTGGGTTTCCATTCTCTAGTGGGCTTAATGGTCTGTTCTTTCATATTGGGTTTCTATTCTCTAGTGGGCTTAATGGGCCGTTCTTTTGTCACGTACATGGATCAGATGTGGCCCACCTAGTGTGTACGTCTCCATATAAAAGAAAAATACACTATAATAGAGGCGGCGAGTCATAATTGCCGGGTTCGCAAACCCCTTCTACGATTCGCGAATCGGAGATGTGTACCCCCCGTCGAATCCGACTCGGTAGATATAGCTAACTCCGAATCACAAATTCAAATTGCGAACCGGGCGAATTGCGAATCAGGTAACTATGGTCTTTCCTGCATATTTTGTCCTCACTTGTGCACACCCAGGATCAACTTCCCAGTCGGTCACCCACCCTCAAATTAATCCAAGCCAAGCACGCTTAACTTTGAGGTTCTTTGCGGATGGACTCCCAGAAAATAAGGAATTCCTTGTTGATATGAGTAGTCTATCAATTTTATTAACCCGTCAACCTAGCCCTATCAAGCCATTCTAGTTGTTGTAGTGATCCACATCTCTTCGGTGTCATCAGAAACAGTGTCTGTCATGGGAAAAATGTGGAGGCTGTGCTGTACAGCTGTGATATGGATGCAGTGCAACTACGGCAAGAGCATAACATGGCGCAATGGTGACAAGGACAGCGGACATGGTGGAGGGTGCTGGTGTGGGGGTGGAGAGGCCATGAATAGGGAGTCTAGATACTGGTGGCCCTGAGAAATAGGGTGAAAAGAGACATAGTAAAGAAGACAGGAGAGGAGATGGAGAAGACTGACATGAGAATCCCTTCATTTTTTTTCTGTTAATTGTTTGATGTCCGCATGTGACATTCAAATCAGCACAAACAGCTTGGGATGGACCCAAGGGGTGGGTGGTCTTTACAAGCTCGAGGGTGCATTTTACACGGTACTAGAGCTTGAGACTGGATGATGACCTTTGGCAAAAATTGAGGGTTGAATAAGGGAAATTTACATATGATATGGAGAAGATATGTAAATCAAGACACCAACAATTCAAATATAGGATCAGGACAGGTAATATTATTAAGAAAGGTAGCATTAGTGTAATAGAACAGCAAACAGGATATAACAACGAATTACAATCGCATGCCCCAATCTAGTGGATAAGAAACATTGCCAGATCATGGTATTTCTATCTGTACAAGATGTGTACTGTGTGATATCATGGTACAAGGAAAAAAATAATGGGGTACTAATTTGTTATACCCATGCTAAGTAACGCTACTACTCATAGGTTTTATATTAAGCTAATATATTCGACATCTAGTGAATTGCATGTTTTTAAGACAGGATATCTACCTGTATCGCCCGCTTGTAAGTGCATCGACTGAATGCAAGGTGTGACACCCTCCAATACATACATCCTGCTGTTATTATTGGGCCAGAAACGGAACTGGAACACCCATTCCTTACCACTGGCATCCTGAACTTTTAAGGGAAGCCCTTCTGGCTGAGAGATTGGAGGGAAGTATGCCTATACAAAATGATTTTTCATGAGGGTGGTTCTCTAAGAACTAAAACACCTACTCCCTCCGTTCCTAAATATAAATCTTTCTAGAGATTTCAATATGGACTACATACGGATGTATATAGACATATTTTGGAATCTCTAGAAAGACTTATATTTAGGAACGGAGGTAGTATAAAAAATCCATACATATCCTATTATAATAAGGCTTCAAAATTCAAACATGTTTTCTCCAGCAAACTCTACTTTTATTTAAAACATCTGGGCAGAAGATTAGTTGCTGATACCACCATTCTACAGAACTTAGTCACAGATCAGGTTAATCTAGCTCATTGGATTACTGACAAAAATAATATGGTTCAAGATTAGTTAGCAAACCAAGTAACGAGAAAAGAATGGATCATGACGAGTCCAGATTTTTCCAAAATATAAAAAATCATAACTACTCTCTCCGTTCCTAAATATAAGACGTTTGGGTAGTTCAATCAATTTGAACTACCAAAATGTCTTATATTTAGGAACAAAGGGAGTAGAAGTTACAGAAGATTTTGGAAACAGGCCCTGTGTACATGTAGATGTGTCCTTTTAATTTGTGCGCTGCAAAAAGAATGTGTTGATCTATATAACAGAAAAATATTACATCAATAGATCTAGGTGTAGGACACAACTAATCATATTTCTTCATGAAATTCTACAAGTGCGTAGTGAACATCCACATGCACTTGTGAAGAAAAATCAAGATTTTTGGAACTCCAAAATGTGTTTCCCGAATTCTTTAAAAACGATCTCCTTGAAGCCCGGGATCTTTGTGTTTTCCAGGATCATGTTACCATACATCAAGAATAAGTAAGCAACAGTGAAAGAAAATTTCCATGGACAGTAGCCTTAACATAATTTAATCATGGAGAATCTACAAATTAACATAGGTATAATTAAGAATGACATGTGAATCAACTTACCTCGGCGCATTTCTTTGGCAACACCAAACGACCAATTCGACCAGCATCACTGGCACTTAACATTTTCTCGAACAAAGGAGTGATAACAGAATTCGAACTGTAGGAGTGTTAAGGAGACACTTACATATAGATAATAAGTCTTTTAAAAAAAATAAGTTTGATATAATTCAAGATGTCATTATTAAAAAAAATGAGCTTATGTTATTATTAATTACTAGAATAGAGAGGAATATATTGTCTAAGAGGAAATTGCTCATGAAGATACTTAGAGTTTTTTGGATACTCTCCCGATAAGTGCTGTAGCTCTTTATCTGTTATTCTAGGCCAGTAGCGGGGAAGTAATTCTGATCTCGCCTTTGGATCCATTCTGGGCTTTCCATTACGGAATTGCGCTTGGTAGTTGGGCTCAATGACACTATGGGAATAGAACTGTTTTTGCACTACTGAGAGGGGCACCGTGGTGGGTGGTTGTTGCGGATTATTAGGTATGATTCTGAGATGGTCGCTTCGTCCAGGTACCGGTGGATAATTAGTGATAGTGTAGCCACCCATTGTCGGCAGGGTTGACGCCGCATCATCCTTTAGAATGGATGGATGATGTGGATCAAGCTTAAAGCCAGTAGATACAGTAGAACCACCATCTGAAATTATCCCTTTCCTTGAAGACAAAGGGTCGCTTTCTCCTACATGGTGACTAGGATCATGAAGGCTATTTGGATTTGGTCCTTCTCTCTGGTAGGGCGTAGAGGAGTGTGTCGGGTCCATGCTTGTTTGCTGTCCGAGCCCATTGGCATATCTGTCCCTTATAATCAGGCCCATGCCAGCAGGTGTTGTTGGTCTGTCATGCATGTCATCGGATTTCTTTTCCTGGGCATGAATAAAAGTGCGCCCTGGAGGTAATTTTTCACTGCCACTTGGCCTATCAAACTCATAAGCTAGACGTTGCTGCAAGTCCGCCTGTATAGTGGACATGTTCCACAGCTGGTGATTCTGTCGCCACTGACTTGAAATCTGGCCCGTAGGAGGTCTCCAACTCTTTACATAACTGTCTTTTCTGTCAGCAACATTTTGAGACATATGCACAGTAGGAGTTGACCACATCTGACTTGGTGCCTAACAAGCATAAGAAACAATTAGCATCACCAAGGGTTAGAATATGAACTTCACAGAACACAAGAAAATTGCAAAGCTCCTGCAGCTTCAGCAAATATAAACACTTCAACGCCTAATAGAGACATCCTTCGCATAAATCAATTGCCAGCTTTGGGTAAATCGCATGCGAAAAGTAGAAACGGGGCATCAGACAGATAACATCAGGATTGCACCTAACTAATGCTGGCAACCAAACAGCATAGCTATGGTACAGCTATGAATGATGGATGTTTTCAGTTCGAATGTACACCAGAAATGAGGTGAGCATAACTAGGTGCAGGTGAAACCATTCTGCAAACCATCCAAATGCAAATTCGTAAAATCTCTGCACATGCAAATTGATCAGAGTTCACCAGCTTAAAGTGCCGGCATGCAAAACAGAGACAGCATATTTTCATAAGATAGTTTCCTCGTTGCCATCAGCCCAATAGTAGTAAATTCTTACGCAGGAGTGAAAAAAATTGATGCCATACCATTGCCGCATAGGACTTGCGAGCACATAGGATGCAGTCAACTCCACCGGCATCAAGCAGCGCATACGCATGGACCGAGACGATGCACCCACAATGTAGCCTCTGCCCAGCAAGAACCGAAATACAGTAACGGATCAATCAGCAAGCACAAATCACGACAAGAGCCAAAGGCTGGAGAATCAGCAGCATGCAGGCGTACGCACCTTCCCGCACGCTTCGCATTTCCTCCATCCGGCCACCTCCGAGTGGAATGTCTCGCAGAAGGTCCCATGCTCGAACGAACCACTGCTCACAGAAAACAGAAAACACACATGCATGCATGCATCAGGCACCAGGAGTCGTCGTACGCAAGTCAAAGCGCTCCCGGAAACCACCAACTTTACAGAAAACCCCCGCGTATCCGCCGAAATCGCGCCGACGTAGCGATCACTCCACGTAGATCCGGTGTGCGCCATAGGCGAATCCGCCTCCGGGGGGGCGGAGGGAGGGAGCGAGCGAGCTCTCCCCGGCCGCACGAATCGAGCGGGCGCGATTGGGGCGGAGGGAGGGAGGGGCAGGAGATTCGATTAGAGAAGGGTTACCGTACGTACTAGCATCGGTCGCAGAGCTCGGCGTAGTCGCCGGAGCGGAGGCGCCAGCCGCGGCGGCGCGGGCCCTCGGATTTGGGGTCCTTGCAGTGCGCGTTGAAGCAGATCCTGGGCTGCTGCTGGAGCGAGGCGGGCGGAGGGCCCTGCTGCTGCTGCTGCTGCCGTTGGTGCTGCGGCTGCGGCTGCTGGGACGGCGGCGGCGCGGCGGAGCCGGACGGCTGCTGCGGCGGCGGGGGAGGCTTGGG